ATTGTAGAAATCTGACCAGTATTCACCGCCGAGGGTCACAAACTTTTAAAACTTTAATGTAAATAACTATAAAACTTCTTTTATATTAAATATTTCTATGCTTTGACAGGGACACAGAATATCTCTTACATGTTTAAGAAACAAGAAATTTACATAATATATCTAAGATATTCTTTTACTTCTCAATAGTAAGTTAACAGACGCAAAACGCTTAGACGAACGCAGACGCACGCTAAATGTTTCTGGGAATAAGAAACGCACGCTTTCAGACGCACGATAAACGAAAAAACGATACACGGAAATGATGATAAACGTTAAACGCTTGTAAACGATGCACGCTTGAGAAAGCGTTTCAGCAAACGCACGTTGCACGCTATACGCACGCACGTTACACGAAAAACGGACGCACGAAAAACGCTATTTTTGACAACCGAAACGTTCACCCTACTGTACTTAACAAAATAAATTTATTTCGTATCATGCACATGTAAATGCAGTGAATTATTTAGCAACCATTTTATAGTATTCTATGAAATAAACTATTTTTCGCTCTTAATATAACAGAACAGTGTAAAATTTACCCCTTGTCTATTCTAAATAACACTAGAAACATTGAACAAAGAATGTAAGAAGTGTTTGTTGTTTTTTCCCTTAAATAAAACAATAACAATCATTTCATTTTTTACATGACCAGGTTAAATAATAATAAATCAACGGCCCTTTCATCGCGCGTTGTTTTATATAAGGCAACTTTTTTTTCCTTAATGATGCTATAAATCATCACTTTTTTCAGTCATTTTTCAAAACGGACAAAAACATATTTTTCAATATAAATTGAAAACTCGCTCATCTGACTTGCTCCATGTGATTTTTATTATCTTTATAAATACAAAGCCATGGAAATAAATGTAAAATTGTTCAAGATTTGCGTTTTATTTCATAACCAGCTGGTCATTTATCACAGTACAGCAAGTAAACACAGAAAATATCAAAAAACATAAATAAGCTTGAGTAGAGATTGAAGAGCAGGAATTTAATCATCCTGTTATGTTAGATGTGTTGAGGATTTTTCTTTTCTCGTTAATATAAAAATTGCCAGCTTTTTTCAACTTGTAGGCCCATAGAAGGGGGTCTTGGGGCTTAGCTCTCAGAAGCCAAAAAACAAGCCAAAAACAAGTTGAGATTAAAAAGAGCAAAATGTGCGTTCTAAAGTATTTTCAAGGAAAATTACCAAACCGATAATTTTAAACTATGAATTTGATTAGATGCTCACATTACTGAGGATGGTAAATCATGCATAAGCCTAAAACACTTTGATTCGACCATAAGGCTTAAACCCACTACCAACCCCACGCCCGCCTGTTTTTAGCTCACCTGTCACAAAGTGACAGGGTGAGCTTTTGTGATCGCTTTTCGTCCGGCGTCCGTCCGTCCGTCGTCCGTCCGTAAACTTTTGCTTTAAATGACATCTCCTCATAAACCACTGAGCCAATTTCATCCAAACTTCACAGGAATGTTCCTTGGTGGTCACCTTTAAAAATTGTTCAAAGAATTTAATTCCATGCAGAACTCTGGTTGCCATGGCAACCGAAAGAAAAATCTTTAAATATCTTCTTTTAAACAACCCTAAGAGCTAGAGCTTAGATATTTGGCATGAAACATCTTCTAATGAGTGTCTACCAAGTTTGTTCAAATAAAAGCCCTGGGGTCAAAATTGGCCCCTCCCCAGGGGGTCATTGATTTTCCCTATATGCATATAGTAAAAACTTAAAAAATCTTCTTTTAAAGAACCGTAAGAGCTAGAGCTAAGATATTTGGCATGAAACATCTTCTAGTGTTCAACTAAAAATGCAAAAATTGGCCCGCCCCGGGGGGTCATTGATTTTCCCTATATGCATATAGTAAAAACTTAAAAAATCTTATTTTAAAGAAACCGTAAGAGCTAGAGCTAAGATATTTGGCATGAAAACATCTTCTAGTGAGTGTCTACCATGTTTGTTTCAAATAAAAAGCCCTGGGGTACAAAATTGGCCCCGCCCCGGGGGTCATTGATTTTCCCTATATGCATATAGTAAAAACTTAAAAAATCTTCTTTTAAAGAACTGTAAGAGCTAGAGCTTAGATATTTGGCATGAATCATCTTCTAGCGAATCACAGTGTACCAAGTTTGATCAAATAAAAGCCCTGGGGTCAAAATTGGCCCCGCCCCAGGGGGTCATTGATTTTCCCTATATGGATAAAGTAAAAACTTAAAAAATCTTCTTTTAAAGAACCCAAAGAGCTAGAGCTAAGATATTTGGCATGAAACATCTTCGAGTGGATGTCTACCAAGTTTGTTCAAATAAAAGCCCTGGGGTCAAAATTGGCCCCGCCCCGGGGGTCATTGATTTTCCCTATATGCATATAGTAAAAACTTAAAAAATCTTCTTTTAAAGAACCGTAAGAGCTAGAGCTTAGATATTTGGCATGAAACATCTTCTAGTGAATGAGTGATTTTCCCTATATGCATATAGTAAAAACTTAAAAAATCTTATTTTAAAGAACCCAAACAGCTAGAGCTAAGATATTTAGCATGAGACATGTTCTAATGGGTGTCTACCAAGTATGTTCAAATAAAAGCCCTGGGGACAAAACTGGCCCCGCCCCGGGGGTCATTGATTTTCCTTATATGTGTATAGCAAAAACATAAAAATCTTCTTTGAAAAAACCCAAATAGCTAGAGTTTAGATATTAAGCATTAAACATCTTTAAGTAAAGATCTACAAAGTTTGTTTAAATAAAAGCCTGGGGGTCGAAACTGGACTGCCCGAGGGGTGTCATTGTTTTTAACTGTATGTGTATAGTAAAAACTTAAAAAATCTTCTTTTAAAAAAGCCAATGAGCTAGAACTTAGATGTTTTGCATGAAACATTTTCTTTTGGGTGTCTACCAAGTCTGTTCAAATAAACAAATAAAAGCCCTTGGGTAAAAATTTGCCCGGGGGGGGGGGGGTTGCTATATACAGGTGAGCGACCTCAGGGCCATCATGGCCCTCTTGTTATTGTATTATTTTGGGACCTTTGAAAATGTCATTTTCTTGAAAAATGTGTAGGCCCGGGCCTACATGGCCTAATAGTAGCTACGCCACTGATTTTTTAATGGTAATAGTAAAAAGGAACCATCTAAAGGTTCCAATCTGTTCGTGGACGACTGAATCACGATACTTGGTTGAAAAATGGCAACACGGAGCAAAGAATAGTATAGAGAAACGTTGATCAACGGGCGTTTTACATGGAGACCAAAGGAGGTCGTCATAGTAGTAAGATTTTACGCCACAGACTTGTGTTTCGAATAATGGCGTCATTGCGGATAAAACCGCTACTGTTTATAATAGGGTGTTCGCGTATATATTTTCATACTTTTTAATTGCGCGGCGACCTTCTGAACTCAAACCCAGCACCTTGAAGCGGCCTTATTACTTGCATGTGAAAAAATGTACTAACCAGCACCGTGTATACTTCCTGGTGCAATATGACGAGCAACGTCAAATAACCATTACCAGTACATCTTTGAACTAAGCTTAAAATAGTTAATTGTTATGTACAAATAATTTGTTAGCCCAGTTTGATCTATAAAAACGTTGTCATATTTTACAACTTTAATATGGCATCCATAAATCATAAACATCTGTAACTGCAAGGTTCGTAAAATTAAAGATAAAACACTGAAACACTCTGAAATACCCAAAACGATCTGTACAATTGAAATACACAGACACACACGCGCGCGAACGCATGCACGCACATTCGAATACCCAAAACGATCATCATTTTAAATACATAAGTGTATAAAGCTTTACATTGTATCAGGGTCTTTCAAAAAATATATTTGAAAGACCCTGATGTTATATACTGACTGTAGATTACAAAATTATTGCTTGAATTTTGAAAAAAGAATACATGTACTTTCAAAAGTCTCATCAATATACATTCATACAAGTTACAATCAATATATATACAGTCATAATAAAAAGTATATTGCCACTCCATAGTGGAGTTATAAGAGACTGGGTCATATTATGTTACAAACATCATATACATATTACATCATTTGAAAGGAACACAACAATAAATAATAAAAACTAAATGAACTATAGGAATAGGATAAATGAATTTATTAAAATTAATAATAAAAAAACGCATAAGAGAAAACACATTAGAATCAGTTTAAGTAAGAAAAGTATATGTATATATACATACAATCTAATTAAGAAAGATTATTTACAAATTAAAACTATCCGTCTTTGTAATATAAGATAGCAGGTTTTGGCAAAGATTTTTATCATATCTGGATTGGAAAACAAAAAATCAAATATGTCCCACACAGAATTACAGAATCCAAACCTACATATTTCTATGTTAGCACACAATCAGTGTATCAATATAACACAATATCACAAATTAGCACACACCTCGAAGTACAAGCATTCATCATATATATACTATCAATGAACAATCTAGAATATTAAACTACTTAGAGAAAGAATATTACAGAATGAACATGAAAGAAGATGAATAAACATGGCAAATTATATAAACATCAAATAAACAAAATTATTAAAAATGATAGTGGCATGAGTAGGTATCGAACCCACGACATCACGATTATCAGACCTGCACTCTACCTACTGAGCGATACTACATGTATACACGTTTAAAATAAAGCCTATAGATCTATAAACTTACTAGTTATTTGGGTTTAAACAGATTCCGCATAGCATAGCATAACATAACATAACATTAAAAAATTAATTAATAAATAAATTAATTAATTTATTTATTAAAGAGGCATAAACAATATATATGACTCATTATTTTTATAATTTAATAGTTTAAGACGAACATTCTTAATATTGAACTGACATAGATAAAGATTTGCATGCATATATCATAATTATGATCAATGTGAGAAGTGCCAAATGGTTAAACAAAAATGGTATATAAATAGAACCTTGTAATATAGTACACGTCATAATTATACTCAAGGATAGTTGATTTTTATTTAACACTAATTTATGTTAACTGTATTGTAAACATATTAAATAACGGAACACTTACGACCCAAAGGTAACAGAAAAACATTATTCTAGCAAAAAACATTACTATATATATTTTCTTGTGTACCGTGAATGTCCCTTATAATGCAATGGTCTATTTTGACATATTATATATTTTTATTTTATTTATATACATGTATTTTAAGGATTGTTTTGAAGAAAACTATCGAGAAAACGGAATACAATTATAGCATATATCTGAATTACATACAAAGTCTTATTTTGTTACATGTCATAACATAATTATATAATAGTAGTAATAAACACAATAAAGTTGAATAACTTTTATCGTACTGCGTAAACAAAGGCATTTACTTTCCGTGTATTGGCATTAGTCATGTAAAATACATGTAGGGATTCCAAAATAACTTATTAGCTCACCTGTCACAAAGTGACATGGTGAGCTTTTGTGATCGCTTTTCGTCCGACGTCCGTCCGTCGGTCCGTAAACGACATCTTCTCATAAACCGCTAAGCCAATTTCATCTAAACTTCACAGGAATGTTCCTTTGGCAGTTAACTTTAAAAATTGTTCCAAGTCATGGCAACCGAAAGAAAAAACTTAAAATATCACCACTAAGAAAACCGAAAGAGCTAGAGCTTAAATATTTGGCATGAAACATCATCTAGTCAGTGTCTATCATGTTTGTTCAAATAAATGCCTTGGGGTCAAAATTGGCCCCGCCAGTGCAGGCGGTCATTGATTTTCATTATTTGTATATAATAGTTAAAACTTTTTTTAAAAATCCCTAATAGCTAGAGCTTAGATATTAAGCTTGAAACATCTTTTAGTGGGTGTCTACCAAGTTTGTTCAAATAAAAGCCCTGGGGAAAAAATTGGCCCCACCCCGGGGGTCATTGTTTTTCCCTTTATGTATATAGTAAAAACTTAAAAATCTTCTTTTAAAAAACCCAAAGAGCTAGAGCTAAGATATTTAGCATGAACCATCTTCTATTGGGTGTCTACCAAGTTTGTTCAAATAAGGGCCCTTGGGTTAAAATTGGCCGCGCCCCGGGGGTCATTGATTTTCCTTATATGTGTATAGTAAAAAATTAAAAAATCTTCTTATAAAAAACCCCAAAGAGCTAGAGTTTAGATACTAGCATGAAATATCTTCTTTTGAGTGTCTACCAAGTTTGTTCAAATAAAAGCCCTGGGTAAAAATTAGCCCCTCCCAAGGGGTCATTGTTTTTCCCTATATGTATATAGTAAAAACTTTAAAAAATCTTCGTATAAAAACTCCAAAGAGCTAGAGCTTAGATATTTATCATGAAACATCTTCTAATGGGTGTCTACCAAGTTTGTTCAAATAAAAGCCCCTGGTTAAACATTGGCCTTGGCCCAGGGGCCTATATACAGGTAAGCGATTTTAGGGCCATCATGGCTCTCTTGTTTTTAAAAATGTTATTGAAGATACTACGGACATTTTAGATCAAAAGAAACAAACTGTTATTAAATATTAAAATATCATTATAATATTTTATTAAACTTTTACACCGATCAGAAACGTTTTTAAATATTTGATCCTTTAATAAAGGACTGATGGTATGCACCTAGCTGTGACGTAAATACACATCATATTCGGTTTGAATATACGTATATTGCAAATTTGATGTCAGAGGTTAATTTAAAAACGGACAGCCCTAAATTGAAGCTATTACTCACAGCTTCGACGGGAGGAATGCAATTGCTTATAATGCTCAATATTATTTTAAACAGTTACTATATACATGACTTGATATTGTAAATCCAGATAGCATGGTAGTAATAGGTCGAATGTTTGTGTGATGGCACAAAAAGGTGAACTCGATGTTTTGTCAGAGACAACACTTTTGTTGACCAACAGCAACATGCACACCCAATCGGCTATTGAAGAAGAACCAAATGAAAACAACAACCATAACCATCAAAAATCAGGGAAAAAGAAAAATAGACTCAAAACTTTGAGGAGACGTGTAAAGGATCCATTCAATAAGAGGAAAATTAAAGAGTTGAAATGGAGGGAAAAGTTTTTGGAGAGAGTAAGTCGTTCATAACTATATAGCAAGCATATAGTGTTTTAAAATGATATGTGATTAAAGTGGTGACTTCAGTAATGACATATTTGTAACATGTGCATTTTCTTCATGTTGCCAAATTATGCATTTGATAAGCGTTTTACCAAAATAAAAATTAATAAATAACACATATTGGGCCACCACTATTATAAATTAAGACAGCTGTTGGACAAAATGATGTGTCTAGCTTTTCAAAAATTGATAAAATAGATCTTATATAGTTTTCATAAGGATTTAATGGAATGTATGGGTCCGGATACAATTGCTCATGGTAAATGTGTAATTGTTTTAAATGAAAACGTGACACATTTAAAAAGAAAGAAGAAGGCTATTACATGGTTATTGTATGCCATAACACCTTGAGCACAGATTTGTGTAAAAATCTACATTTAATGGAACCAACTATTTTGTACATCCGAAACTGAAAATATTTCTCTAGGTGACTTTAATATAACCTATTGAATGTCTTTTTGACATTTCCCCTCCCCCGTTTGTTTCTTTTGTTCGTTAATGGGAACTGTTCCTAATTATTCATTTTGTACGAGCTTTTAATAATGTCATGGTTTCTTTAAAACTACTAGAAATGTGATTTCGTGATCAAGGGTGCAGCCTTTCATAGTTTCCCATCCGTGTTAGTTTTACATTCATGATTGAATTACATACAATGTATACTTTGTTTATTAAAATTAAGAATTATCTTTATATCTGTATTTCAACAACAACAACAAAAAGACACTCCTAGTATTTATCGCCATTTAGTTACTAGAATTACTGTTTATGATAGGAAATGTTTTGCATTGCAACAATATTATTTGATTTTACTTGGTTACACATGTTGTTAAACTTGTCATATAGACTGTCGAAGGACTCAGCAAAAAATTACTAGATATCATTAAAAGCCATCCAATAGGGGAACCAATCTTAAATTCGGTTGGAAGTCTGCAAATCGACTGTATCAACAACATACACCATAACTCCGAAGATGACCTTGACGAGTTACAAAACGCGATTGATAGTTTAACAGATGCAGCAAATAAACTGCTTAATGAAATTACAGCAGAAAACGAGACAAGGCAGAAAGAAAATGCCGAGCTGAAACTTTACTGCGAACGTTCGGAGGTATTATGATATATTTTTGAATTTCTTCACCATTTTATGACAGTTGCACTCATAATGTTTGAAGATGATAGCAATGTAGAAAAAACATTATTTACTGAATTAATTTTAAACAAGAGGGCCATGATGGCCCTAGATCGCTCACCTGACCCATCAAACTCATCCAAACAATTACCTAGACAAGCATTCTGACCAAGTCTCATGACAGGTGAGTCAAAAATGTGACCACTACAGTATTAACAAGGATTATCCATATTTGAGCAGTGCGACCTAGTTTTTTACCCAGGTGACACATATTCAAACTTGACCTAGAAATCATCAAAACAAACTTTCAGACCAATTTCCAGGATACTTGGATCAAAACAGTAGCAACTAGAGTGTTAACAAGATTTTTCTATTTTTAGCTCCGGTGACCTAGTTTCACATGCGATTTCAAACTCATCCAAGCAATTACCTAGACAAGCATCCTGACCAAGTTTGATGATAATTGAGTCGAAAAATGTGACCACTAGAATGTTAACAAGGTTTTTCCATATTTGGGCGGTGTGACCTAGTTTTTCATCCAAGATGACCCATGTTCGATCTTTGACTTAGAAATCATCAAAACAAACTTTCAGACCAATTAACAGAATATTTGGATCATGACAGTAGCCACTAGAGTGTTAAACAAGATTTTTTTCTATTTTTAGCTCCTGTGACCTAGTTTTTCATCCGAGATGTCCCATGTTCGATTTATTCCCAGCAATGACCTTAGACAAGTTTCCTGACCAAGTTTTAATGACAATTGAGTCAAAATTGTGACCACTAGAGTGTTAACAAGGTTTTACTATTTTTAGCTCTGGTGACCTACTTTTTCATCGAGATGACCAATGTTCGAACTCATCCGAGCTTCTCACCTAGACAAGCATCTTGATCAAGTTTGATGATGATTGATACAAAAATGTGACCGCTAGAGTGTTAACAAGGTTTTTCTATTTTAGCTCCTGTGACCTACTTTTTCATCCGAGATGACCCATGTTCAAACTCATCCGAGCTGTCACCTAGACAAACATCTTAACAAAGTTTGATGATGACTGATGCAAAAATGTGACCACTAGAGTGTTAAACAAGGTTTTTTCTATTTTCTAGCTCCGGTGACCTACTTTTTCATCCGAGATGACCCATGTTCAAACTCATCCGAGCTATCACCTAGACAGCATCTTGACCAAGTTTGATGATGATTGATGCAAAAATGTGACCGCTAGAGTGTTTACAAGGGTTTTTTTATTTTTAGCTCCGGTGACCTACTTTTTCATCCGAGATGACCCATGTTCGAACTCATCCAAGCTATCAACTAGATAAGCATCCTGACCAAGTTTGATGATGATTGATGCAAAAATGTGACAGCTAGAGTGTTTAACAAGGTTTTTTCTATTTATAGCTCCGGTGACCTAGTTTTTCATCTGAGATGACCCATATTCGAACTCATCCGAGCTATTATCTAAACAAGCATCCTGACAAAGTTTTGATGATGATTGGGTCAAAAATGTGACCACTAGAGTGTTCACAAGGTTTTTCTATTTTTAGCTCCTGTGACCTAGTTTTTCATCAGAGATGACCCATGTTCGAACTTATCCAAGCAATTGACTAGACAAGCAATCTGACAGAGTTTGATGAAGATTGGTTCAAAAAATGTGACCACTAGAGTGTTCACAAGGTTTTTCTATTTTTAGCTCCGGTGACCTACTTTTTCATCCGAGATGACCCATGTTCGAACTCATCCGAGCTATCACCTAGACAAACATCCTGACCAAGTTTGATGATGATTGGGTCAAAAATGTGACCTCTAGAGTGTTCACAAGGTTTTTCTATTCTTAGCTCTTGTGACCTAGTTTTTCATCCGAGATGAGCCATGTTCGAACTCATCCGAGCTTTCAACTAGATAAGCATTCTGACCAAGTTTGATGACGATTGAGGCAAAAATGCGACCGCTAGAGTGTTCACAAGCAATTGTGGACGTACGACGGACGACGGACGGACGGACGACGGACATTCACCGATCCTAAAAGCTCACCCTGAGCAAGCTCAGGTGAGCTAAAAAGAGAGAAATTCAGTTACATTATAACAAATACGGTTTTATTTTATTTTTATCTGTTAGTAAAGATTGGTGTGTCTTACATACTGCAGCAACATACTGAAATCGTTACAAAATTTAAATATCAATGTCACATGCAAATTCATTCTTTCGGAAATTCATTGTTTCAGATGAAGTTGGGTGAAATAAAAGACCTTGTGACACAGTGCTCATCTAAAATAAGCCAGCAAGATATCGGCCACGTGCAAGCACTGAAAGATTTAAAAGATCTGCAGGACACACTGGTCGCAGACACACCAGACGACAAGATTGTGTCTGATGGCATCTCAGGAATACGTCTTGGCTTCATATTTGATGAGGAATATGACTTTCTACCGTTTAAGACAAAGCTGCTAGTTACAAAAATCCTTCATTTATTCGGTAACCATCTACGTGTGCATACTAAATAGTAATTTTCTTTTCACGATTATCCGAATGATTTTCTAAAATTTGATTATCATATAATGCTAGGAAAGACACAGCGGCTATTAGTCTTTTTTTTTTAAAATTTAGTCTTGCGTGCAGCATTAAAACTGAAATTTTTTGGATTTAATCATCGAAGTTTTCAGGGGTTCTGGCACGAAGGGTTTTCTAGAACTTTGCGAAAAAGATGTCTGTGCAAAAATGGATTGGGCTGGGGGAAAAAAAACTTTATAATAAAAGCCAGCTCTCTAAAACATGAAATCACACGAAAAGCAAAGATATGGAGGTATGTCTAAACATTAATTTTAAAAGACACGAATCTTTTACACGAATCTGTTCAATCTTCTTGATCAATTTCACCATTGACTATACGTGTATTTAATTATTGAATGATTAATTATTAGAGGCTTAAGATCGTGCTATAGAACTTTGGCGTTAACATATTTAGCAACACTATCGTCTACAAATATTTCTTTCTCATTTCTGTCATGCCAAACGACTTTAAAGACTCCCAGAAATAAATGTATGCTTTTTAGCTATGTAAGTGTTATTAAAAAAAAAATCTTTTTAATTGCCCGTTCGTGCCTGATATAATGCACGTGAGGCTCTGAAAAATCGCCACATGTCATATACTGCGTTGGTGTGACGTAAACCCCAAACGCCCAAAAAATCTTCTCTATGATCTAAGTTTGTTTTCTTAAATAATGTTCAGCAAGGGCACCATTTTTATTTTCTTATTTAGAAAATGCAAAGCTGTTCAACAAAACTTTGCTGTTTTTCATAGTGTGGATCATTCGATACATATGCCATTCAACAAAGACGTTCTACGTGTATTTTATTACTGTTATTTAGCGATTTCGTAATATAAATAACATGTTCTTGAACAATATTCAATTTGATGGAAATATATATGTCTTTTATGTGGAAAGTGTAAAATTGAATTATGATAATCAAAAATAAAAGAAGATCAATGTTACTATGATAAATATAAATGAGTTTGAAGTTGTCTAAGTTAAAAACTTATTTCTGCTAAGAAAGAAATACCAAACGAAAGTTTTAAATATATCGTTCCATGAATGGCGCAGTATATACTAATAGAGTCAAACAAATCTAAGTTTAAAATGATCAAACATGCATGATTCGCATATACAATTATTTCCAACTTTTTTTATAATTTAGCGGCATGCCACGAGCATGAAGAAGAAATTTATGTACATACTAACACCCGGAATGATAGTCTGACTTCGGAACGACCACACAGTATCCTTGTACATCACCATGACAATTCTTCTAGCAACTCTTCTAGCAACAAGTCGTTATCCTTTGATGACAACTATTTTGATTATGATTCACTAGAGCGGGATTGCCTACATTTCTTGAAAATAGCGTCAGTTGAAGGATTTTCTGCTACTTGTTCAAAATCTTAAGAGTCCAATATTCCTCATAAATATTTTTTTTTTCTCAAAAGCGTCTGTTTTTGTTTTCATATTATAGTCTCCAATATGCTACTCATTGGCCATTACTTTTACCTGAACCATATTTTGCTTCTCTAGCTTTGGCAAAAAGTACAGTTACAGTGATTGAGTAATTTGTATGGCAGTCAATATACTACTTTGTTTACATTTTGCTTCTTTAATGGCAAACAATTTCACATAACTTTCTTCAGGTGATGAGTATCTTACATGTTCTAAATATTAAAACTGATGTTTGACCTTTCTAGAGAAAGAAAAACAAATGTTTCTGAGGCGTATTGTTTCTTTAAACGCTTACACTGACAATGTTGTTTGAAGTTTGATTGAAGTCTTATTTAAATGTGTGCGTTTTTAAGGGATGGTGTTTGATTTTCAAGCTCTTATGATATGGTTAAGAATATGATCTTGTGAGAGGAAGGGTCATTTTCATTTACAAAAATTATATGTTATTATACCTACATGTTTTATTTTATGCAATGCTCAATGCACGAGTTCGTGTGACACCATACACAGTATCAACATTTTTGTTGCATTTTTTTAAACATAAATCTATTTAATTTATATCAATTGTATACATTTTATTAACACTTTTAAAGCATGATGCCTCCAGATAAGCAAAAAATATTTAAAGAAAATGAAATTTGAGAAAAATGTACTGATTTTTTAAGAAAATTAAAAAGTTCTGAATTTCAAGTAATAATTTACATGTTATGTGCCATTTATCACCATATTTCTACTTGGTGACTAACGCAGTATGGGATATTGTTTACATATTCCGACCTTTTTTTAGTAATTTACTTAAATTGTAAGTGCCGTTTGCAATGTGTATATTACAATAATTCACAATAATTTACTTCTAAATTCTTACGAAAATAAGCATGAATCTGGTAGCATGCTGCTTTAAGAATCCGCCTACATATCAATTGAAAATTGCCATTTTAAAAATGTGTTATTATGATCTGTCTACAAAGGACTGTTTGTCTCATTTTAAAGCAACATTGATGAACATGTGTTAATATTGCTTACAATAAAGATAGATTTATTTTGTACAAGACTATTGTTTTTGTTATCATCATCATTATTATTATTATTATTTTGTTATTGTTGGCTCTACGTGTCTGAATAGTTAGCTAGTAAAAACTTATTTAAAAGGACAATCGGTGACCAAATGAGTGAATCGAGAGTGGTTTAAAGAAGATAATAGCCAAAGCTAGGCCTATTCAAAATCGAGCAATAAGATACATACTTATTCTTTAAGCTAAAAATGTTTTGTTTAAATTTGATTGTGTCAAAAGCTGAAGGCTTACAAAAATCACTATTTTCTCAAAAGCATTCGTTTTACTACTACTACTACTGCTACTGCCACTGCTACTACTACTACTACTACTACTACTACTACTACTACTACTACTACTACTACTACTACTACTACTACTACTACTGCTACTGCTACTGCTACTGCTACTGCTCCTGCTGATGCTGCTACTACTTCTTTTCTTTTTTATTTCTTCTTCTTCTTATACTACTACTACTACTACTACTACTGCTGCTGCTACTGCTGCTGCTGCTGCTGCTACTGCTGCTACTACTACTACTACTGCTGCTACTGCTGCTGCTGCTGCTGCTACTGCTGCTACTACTGCTGCTGCTTCTGCTGCTACTACTGCTGCTGCTGCTACTACTGCTAATGCTGCTGTTACTGCTGCTACTACTGCTGCTGCTACTACTACTACTGCTGCTGCTGTTACTGCTGCTGCTACTTCTGCAGCTACTACTACTTCTACTAGTACTACTGCTACTGCTACTAGTACTACTACTAGTACTACTGCCACTGCTACTACTACTACTAGTACTACTGCTACTAGTACTACTACTAGTACTGCTGCTGCTGCTACTACTACTGCTGCTGTTACTGCTGCTACTACTACTAGTACTACTACTAGTACTGCTGCTGCTGCTGCTACTACTACTGCTGCTGTTACTGCTGCTACTACTGCTGCTGATACTTCTCCTACTGCTGCTGCTGCTACTGCTACTACTACTGCTGCTGCTGCTACTACTACTACTACTGCTACTGCTACTGCTACTGCTGCTGCTACTACTACTACTACTACTACTACTACTTCTACTACTAGTAGTACTACTGATACTAGTACTACTACTAGTACTACTGCTACTGCTATTACTACTACACTACTGCTTCTGCTACTACTACTACTTACTACTTACTACTACTACTACTACTACTACTACTACTACTACTACTACTACTACTACTACTACTAACTACTACTGCTTCTACTGCTACTTCTACTACTACTCCTACTACTACTACTTGGTTATTGTAGATGCAGTGCTACTGCTGCTCCTACTGGTTATCATAGTTGCCGTGCTACTACTACTGGTAATTGAAGCTGCAGTGCTACTGCTGCTACTACTACTTGGTTATTGTAATTGCAGTGCTACTCGGCTCCTACTGGTTATTATAGTTGCCGTGCTACTACTGGTACTGGTAATTGAAGCTGCAGTGCTACTGCTGCTGTAACTGCTACTGGTTATTGTAGCTGCTGCTACTGGTTATCGTAGTTGCCGTGCAACTGTTGCTTCTACTGGTAATTGTAGTTGCAGTGCTACTGCTACTGTTTATTGAAGTTGCCGTGCTATTGCTGCTGCTACTGGTAATTGTACTTGCAGTGCTACTGCTACTGGTAATTGTAGTTGCCGTGCTACTGCTACTGCTGTTGCTGCTGGTTATTATACCCCCAAAAACGAAGTTTGGGGGGGGTATATAGGAGTCACCCGGTGGTCGGTTGGTCGGTCGGTCGGTTGGTCGGTCGGTCGGTCGGTCCAGACGTCCGTTGCATTTTCCTTGTCCGGAGCATAACTTGAAAACTAATGGTTGGAATTCAATATAACTACATACAATGGTCAAGCACATTGAGAGGAAGTGCAGTGCACAAGAACCATAACTCTATCTTGACTAATTACAGAGTTATTGCCCTTTGTTACTTTTCCTTGTCCGGGGCATAACTTGAAAACTACTGGTTGGAATTCAAAACAACTTCATACAATTGTCAAACACAATAAGGGGAAGTGCAGTGCACAAGAACCATAACTCTATCTAAAGTAATTACAGAGTTATTGCCCTTTGTTGCTTTTCCATTGCTTTTTTTTTGTCCGTTGCATTTTCCTTGTCCGGAGCATAACTTGAAGACTAATGGTTGGAATTCAATATAACTACATACAATGGTCAAGCACATTTGAGAGGAAGTTCAGTGCGTAAGAAACATAACTCTATCTTGACTAATTACAGAGTTATTGCCCTTTGTTACTTTTCCTTGTATGTGGCATAACTTGAAAACTACTGGTTGGAATTCAAAACAACTTCATACAATTGTCGAACACAATAAGGGGAAGTGCAGTGCACAAGAACCATAACTCTATCTAAAGTAATTACAGAGTTATTGCCCTTTGTTGCTTTTCAATTGCCTTCTTTTTTTGTCCGGAGCATAACTTGAAGACTAATGGTTGGAATTCAATATAACTACATAC